GCAATTACTTAAGAGAGTAGTGTAGAAGGAGAAGTTTTTCCATTCAATTCCTGGAACGTGGTGGTCAGATTTTTTGTTCTCTGTGTTAACAATGATGGCTTCCTTCATTGATTTAACTAGGGGGTAAGGGCTGGCGATGGCTTCAGCAACCACCGCTTGGTTTTCTGGGACTGAGGTGTTAGTAATGAGTACAGTTGAGGAGATTTTGTATTTCTGGGATGGAAGGGCCAGTACTGGGTGTAGAGATGGTATGGGCGGCACTGGGTTTGGTTGCTTCAGGGATGAGTACATCGGTGTCCTTAGGTGCAGTCGATTCCGGGATATGTACAGCTGAGTGGTGCTGCTTGATGATCCTAAGCGTTCTTATTTTTTACTTCGGTGCGGGTTCGTTAAATGTTCTTGGGTTGGAGGCGCTCCTTAGGTTTACAAACACGAGACAGTTGAGGATTTTTTTTGATGTCTTCCTGAAAGGCAGAAAGGTAGATGATGGGTCGATTGCTAGTGAAGGCGGGAAAGGCTGATTCTTGGGCTTCTTGTGGAAAAAGACACTTATGTACAGTTCAGGACATTTATTAAAGGAAACGTTTCGCCACGAGTGGCTTCTTCAGTCCTAATACAGAGAAAACTAAGAAAACACACATATATATAGTGGCGGGAGTCTGGTGAGGTGATGCGTGGGTAGAGGTGGTAGTAGTAGTAGTAGTAGTAGTAGTAGTAATGGAACTAAGGAGGTGAGGCAAGAGAGGGACCTGCTGGCATCAAGTAACACCAGTTCCCAGGATGGGTAATATCCTCTTGCTTAGTAATTTTGAAAATTACTAAGCAAGAGGATATTACCCATCCTGGGAACTGGTGTTACTTGATGCCAGCAGTCCCCTTTTGCCTCACCTCCTTAGTTCCATTACTACTACTACTACTACTACTACTACTACTACTACTACCACCTCTACCCACGCATCACCTCACCAGACTCCCGCCACTATATATATGTGTGTTTTCTTAGTTTTCTCTGTATTAGGACTGAAGAAGCCACTCGTGGCGAAACGTTTCCTTTAATAAATGTCCTGAACTGTACATAAGTGTCTTTTTCCACATCTTGTCGGTATCACCATACCATTTCCTCTTGGGCTTCTTGCAGCATCTTCTGAGTCTTGTCCTGAAAGCGTGTGATGGAAGCTTATGCTGTTCCAGTGGTGTCCTCAAGATTCTTGTGGGATTCGGTGAGTATTTTATGTACAATCTTTTGCATCTAGCAGCCAAGTTTCATAGGTCTCGGAGGCATGAGTGATGCCGTCAGCAATGCAGGTGGAAGAATATTTCATTCCTCACCCCCACTATCCTGAACCCATCATCAGTTTTTCAGGACGACATCACCAAAAGGAAACTCTCACCTGTGTGAGAGTTTCAACGAAGTCATCAACTCTGTCTTCAAGCTTAACAACCTTCCGGAAATTAATTTCTTTGAAGTTAACTCTACAACAACGTACAGATCGTCAAGCAGCACACCTCCGTTGTACATATCCCGGAATCAACCTCGTCTATGGACACTGAAGCAATAAATTTCACGGTTGCCATATCTGCACTCGCTACTGACCCAACAATCACAAAACTATGGAAAACTACGTCTGTCTCCTGTGCACCCATTACTAACACCTCTGTCCCAAAAACATAGTTTCGATCTCTATCACCGAAGTTGCTGAAGCCTTCGCCAGCCATTTCCCAGGAGATAAAAAGGAGTTAGGGGGAACTGTCATTGCTAGCTTAAGAACATTAAAGCTGACTACAACATCTCAGCACTTGACTGGGAAAACCTCTGCTTCTGCACTACCCCAAAATTAGTAGCACCATGTGTTCCACTTAAATATACAAAAGATTATGCTCCGCATGGGTCAGTAGGCATGTTGCAGTGTTCCTTCCTTCTTATGTTCTTATGTTCTTCTTATACAGGCAATACGCTCGCTCATCGACTATGGAGCACTTGCTCTGGTTCATGCCAGGCCCACGAACATCAAGTGTCTCTGTGTGGTCCAAAACACAGCTGCACGGGCCATGCTGGGGGCGCCTAGGTGGGCCAATGCGGTATCTCTGAACTTTGAGGCGGAGTTGCAGCCCCTTGAGGACAGGATCCAATTTGTAGCTGTCAAGAGGATAGCAAAGTACCTCCGACTCCCAGGGGCTGACAAACTGATGAGGGATTTAAGGGTCTGCCAGGGACATGTCATACCAATGCACCCCGGCCACCGATGGTTGTGGTAAGTTGCAGATGCCACAAGGAAGCTCGTGCCCATGACATTGCTCCAGGCAGGAAGCTGTGACAGACCGGCAGCAAACTACACGGTGCAGCCCCATGGGAGCCAGAGCTGTTGGCGGTGCACTGGACAACCCTACCAGGCAGCAAGAGGCATTGCCCCCAGCACGTTCTGCAACGACTTGCCTCGGCTAGCATTGCAGGTGTGGAAGGCCCTGGGTGTGTGCCGTATTACATCGATGGCTCCAGAGACTCAGTGGCAGGCTGCACAGCTGCTTGGATGTTCCACAGCAATCTGACAGCAGGTTGGCGCCTCCCGGACCATTGCATCATACTCCAGGCTGAACTCTTTGTCTTCCAACAAGCTCTGCAGCATGCAATTGCAGACAATCAGCATCCCCCAGTCATCCATGTTGATTCCAAGGCAGCGATCCAGGCAATTATGTACAGAGAGCCAAGGGACAACATACAACATACACTTAATCACATCTATCCAGAGCAACCTGCAGACGCTCATGGCCCAGGGTCGCAGAGCCATCATCAACTGGATCCCGAGCCATGTGGGTATCCCCGGCAATGATGCCGCAGATGAGGCTGCGAAGACCGCAACACTCGAGGCACAGCCTGATTATGATCTGGGCTGCCAGTGCGGCCAGGCGCCCACTCCCTGGCCAGGGGATTCATGGAGCCGCCGCTGGTATGACAGGGCGACTCACAGGACACCCCTCCAAGTATTCGGATGCAGACCAGAGAACTGTGGGTGCATATCCACCGCCTACGCTTAGGGTATCCCGCCACTGCACGGATTGTTGAATGGGCACGAGAGGAGTTCTGTGCCCACTGTGACCGGATGGTTCCGAAACCCCTGGTGCATGACCTGTTAGACTGCTCGACTACGATGCCCCTTCGCCGTAGACACTTCCCAGTGACCCCAGTGGGCAGGCCCGGGAGGATGAGGCGGCACATCTTGTGTACTTAGCCATCAGAGACTTGGAAACCTTACTTCCAGTCATTGCACGTCACCCCAAGCGCAAGTTGCTGTGAAGACCTGCTTTGGGCGTCCTTTGCACCCCACGTCAACCGCCGTCAGAGCAAACTAACTTTTGGGACATTTGTCCATAGAACCGGAGAGGAACCCCACTTCCCACCGAAGGACTGCAACGCATCTACGAGAAAAGATAAACGACACTTTCCTACCCAGGGAGCCAACCGGGCCCCCAAATTGGAAAAAACCCCGGGCTGGGACCATACCGGCAAATCAATAAAAATAAATTTTGCTTCTTTAGGGAGATTATCATGCATAAATATATAAAAAATCCTACACAAAATAGTAAGTAAAAGATTTTCCCCCCTCAATGGTACTGATATTTATTCCGGGCAAACCAGTGGTCAAGTACAATGCGTGCAAATTTAAAAGAAGAGTGGGTATTAGAATAGGTACTCAGCTCAGACTGACCCGTAGGCAGGGTATAAAGAAGAATAATATTTTCTGTGTTTTTTCTAGTACGGATTGGGTGTAAAAAATATGGGGGATCCAGAACAAACTTTAGTTATGGGGGAATATTCGAAACCATTGGAGATCCAAAATAAATTTGGGAACTATGTGAAACTCAGCTACTTGTGGATTCCATAGAGACTGCGTGCTATGTTTACCTGGGTTTTCCGGAGAGAGTTTCCCGGGGGGGAACCCCCCGCGGCCCCGGGCTGTGACCAGGCCCCCTGGTGGACAGAGCCCGATCAAAACCCGGCTGTTAGCGGCTGCAGCAAACCAACGTAGAGCCCACCCGGGGATCGCTACTGTGTTGTTCCCGAAGATAAATTTTGTGGAGCACTGAGCTACTGAGGTGCTAGAGCACAGCGAGGCTATGATGAGCCCGTTGGTTTTTTATTATATTTAAAATATTATTTGGTGCAAAAGATAAAATTCGTCAGTCACTAATGAAGCATCAAAACTCATTTCAAGTATCTCAGGAGGTCAGTGGAAACATCATGCAAACAGCAGCGTTTTTCATGAAATATTTTGTAGTTAAACCTGATTCAGGAGGCCTGGTCATGGACCGAGCCGTGGGGGCGTTGATCCCCGGAGTGTCCTCCACGTAGCCTCCAGGTAGGTCATGTGGCTTGCTTTTGTTTAAAACCTTCTCCTGTTGTACACTTTAAAGAAGAGGGCTTCCATGTGAGGTTGAAAATTATAGCTTTCATCTCCTCTTATATTGTTTATATGTGAATTCGCTTGTCATAGTGATAAAAATGAAAGATATTTTTCAAGTGCGTAGCACATTAATAAAATAACGATGACCCAAAATTCGATAATCATAATCTCAATTATTTGAAGCTAAATACCCTTTAAACTTTTTTTCCCGGAGGTGATGTTTCTTGAATTACTGTTATTTATCTTTAGTTTTTGTTTCATATATTAATATGTATTTATCTGTACTGAAATATATTGGTTATTTTTAATATATTTACTAAGTTTTCAAAAGATAACCTTAAAGCTATAAAGGTGTAGTTGTGTAGTCACTTTGTTTTCTATCTTCGTATCTTTTTTTTTTTTAAGATAAATAAATAGGCAGTTCAAGCGTTCAACTTGGCTTGTTAGAATATCAACTCTTGCGACTGAAAAAGCCTCATTAAGACAGCAATTATCTTGTACACGAGCAAGCAAAACAATTAATCAATAAAACAGACGAGAGTACACTATCGTTGTATATACACGTACTGATCGACTCACATCCTCTTCTTTCACGTCCAGGTTTCCTCTCAACTGAGGACTCAGTGATCCCTGGTAACTTCGGATTAAAGGATCAAACGCTGGCGCTGCAGTGGGTGCAACGGAACATCAACAATTTCGGAGGAGACAAGACCAAGGTCACTATCTTCGGAGAGAGCGCCGGTGGTGTCTCCGTCAGCTTACAGATGCTCGCACCCAAGGCCAAAGGTGAGCGATGTTATTTCGTTTTAAGAAACAGGAAAGCCTCCCCTGACACGGTTATCAAATTACTACTCTTTCATTGGTTAAGCATCTACCTGAGCTAGAATTTCGACCTCAATTAAAACTGGACTTGCTGCTGTGGCTACAAGATTTCAGAAAAATATCATCCACGTACAAAAACAAAGCCTCCTGTACCTCTCTGTTTGGACCACATATTAAAGGCAAGCCTCCAAATTCTCAAGAGGTAGAGCTCTAGGTATGCACCTCAGGAGAAAAATCGACAGGGCACAAATTTCATTCTAGTCCCGTTTGGATACCAGTCTCACGAGCAGTACACAAATCAAGGCATCAAGACACCAGTCGTTTTCAAGCAAAGGACATACTGCAACTAGTTGGAATACATATTTTTTTTTCAACACGTCGGCCGTATCCCACCGAGGTATGGTGACCCAGAAATTAAGAAAATCCCCAAAAAAGAAAATACTTTCATAATCATCCAACAATTTCACCTCACTCATACATAATCACTGTTTTTTGCAGAGGTGCCCAGAATACAACAGTTTAGAAGCATATACGTATAAAGATATATAATACATCCCTCCAAACTGCCAATATCCCAAACCTCTCCTTTAAAGTGCAGACATTGTACTTCCCATTTCCATTACTCAAGTCCGGCTATGTAAAAAATAACCGATTTCACTGAATCCCTTCTCTAAATATTACCCTGCTCACACTCCAACAGCATGTCAGGTCCCAAATACCATTTGTCTCCATTCACTCCTATCTAACACGCTCACGCACGCTTGCTGGAAGTCCAAGCCCCTCGCCCACTAAACCTCCTTTACCCCCTTCCTCCAACCTTTTCGAGGACGACCCCAACCCGCCTTCCTTCCCCTACAGATTTATACGCTCTCCATGTCATTCTACTTTGATCATTCTCTCTAAATGACCAAACCACCTCAACAACACTTCTTCAGCCCTCTGACTAATACTTTTATTAACTCCACAACTTCTCCTAATTTCCACACTCTGAATTCTCTGCATAATATTTACACCACACATTGCCCTTAGACAGGACATCTCCACTGTCTCCAACCGCCTCCTCTCTGCAGCATTTACAACCCAAGCTTCGCACCCTTATAAGAGTGTTGGTATCACTATACTTTCATACATTCCCTTCTTTGCCTGATAGATAACGTTTTTTGTCTCCACATATACCTCAACGCACCACTCACCATTTTTCCTTCATCATTTCTGTGGTTCCCTTCATCCTTCATAAATCCATCCACTGACACGTCAACTCCCAAATATTTTAAAATATTCACTTCTTCCATACTCCTCTCCAGTTTGATATCCATTTTTCCTTTATCTAAACCATTTGATACCCTCATCACCTTACTCTTTTCTATGTTCACTTTCAACTTTCTCCCTTTACACACTCTCTCAAACTCGTTCACTAACCTTTGCAACTTTTCTTTAGAATCTTCCATAAGCACAGTATCATCAGCAAAAAAGTAACTGTGTCAATCCCAATAATTTAATCCCACCCCTCTCCCGAACACCCTAGCATTTACTTCTTTAACAACCCCATCTATAAATATATTAAACAACCATGGTGACATTACACATCCCTGTCTAAGACCTACTTTTACCGGGAAGTAGTCTCCCTCTCTTCTACACTCCCTAACCTGAGCCTCACTATCCTCATAAAAACTCTTTACAGCATAAAGTAACTTTCAAACTATTCCATATATACTTGCAACATCTGCCACATTGTTCTCCTATCCACTCTATCATATGCCTTTTCTAAATCCATAAATGCAATGAAAACTTCCCTTTCTTTATCTAAATACTGTTTACATATATACTTTAATGTAAACACTTGATCTACACATGCCCTACCCACTCTAAAACCTCCTTGCTCATCCGCAATCCTACATTCTGTCTTATCTCTAATTCTTTCAAAATACACTTTTCCTGATATACTCAGTAAACTTATTCCTCTATAATTTTTACAATCTATTTTGTCCTCCTTCCCTTTCTATTAAGGAACTATACATGCTCTCTGCCAATCCCTAGGTACCTTCTCCTTTTTCACACATTTATTAAACAGAAATATCAACCACTCCAACACTATATCCCCCCCTGCTTTTAACATTTCTGTCATGATTCCGTCAGTTCCAGCTGCTTTACCCCCTTTCATTCTACGTTAATGCTTCACGCACGTCCCCCACACTCACATCATTCTCTTCTTCACTCCTGAAAGATGGTATACCTTCCTGGCCAGTGCATAAAATTACCGCCTCACTTTCTTCGTCGACATTTAAAAGTTCTTCAAAATATTCCCGCCATCTACCCAATACCTCCATCTCCCCATCTACTGACTCCCCTACTCTGTTTTTAACAGACAATCCATTCGTTCCCTAGGTTTTCCTAACTTGTTTATCACACTCGAATTTATTTTCTTATTTTCATCAAAATTTCTTTACAGTGCCTCTCCCACTCTATCATCTGCTCTCCTTTTGCACACTCTCACCACTCTTCACCTTTCTTTTACTCTCCATATACACTGATCTTCTTATAACACTTCCGTTTTGTAAAAAAAAAGTCTCATAAGCTAACATTTTCTCTTTTATCACGTCCTTTACTTCATCATTCCATCAATCACTCCTCTGTCCTCCTGCACCCACCCTTCTATAGCCACAAACTTCTACCCCACATTCTAATACTGCATTTTTAATTAAAACTATTCTAACCCACTTCACCCCCCGCCTCCACTACTCATACTTGCACTAGCCCACTTTCTCCCAATAGTTGCTTATATCTCACTCTAACTTCCTCCTCCCTTAGTTTATACACTTTAACCTCTCTCTTACTTGTTGTTGCCATTTTTCTTTTGTCCCATCTACCTCTTACTTTAACTGTAGTTACAACTACATAATGATCCGAAATATCAGTTGCCCCTCTATAAGCATGTACATCCCGGAGTCTACTCATCAACCTTTTATCAACCAATACATAATCTAACAAACTACTTTCATTACGTGCTATATCATGCCTTGAATATTTATTTATCCTCTTTTTCATAAAATATGTATTACTTATTACCAAACTCTTTCACACTTAGCTCAATTAAAGGCTCCCCATCTTCATTTACCCCTGGCACCCCAAATTTACCTACTACTCCCTCCACAACATTTTTACCCACTTTAGCATTGAAATCCTCAGCCACAAGAACTCTCATACTTGGTTCAAAACTCCCCATGCATTCACTCAACATTTCCCAAAATCTCTCTCTCTGTCTCTCTCTCTCCTCTCTCCTCTATACTTCTCTTTTTTTCTCCATGTGCACATACGCATACTAGAATCCACTTTTCACATCCAACCTTTAATTTACTCCACATAGTCCTTGAATTAATACATTTATACTCCTTTTCCTGCCATAGGTTATCTTCAACATTATTGCTACTCCTTCTTTAGCTCTAACACTATTCGAAACCCCTGACCGAATCCCATTTACTTCTCCCCACTGAATCTCTCACACCCCCTTCAGCTTTGTTTCACTTCAAGCCAAGACATCCAGCTTCTTCTCATTCATAACATCCACAATCATCTCTTTCTTATCATTCACACAACATCCACGCACATTCAAATATCCTGCTTTGACAATTTTCTTTTTCTTTTTAGTAAGCATTACAGGAAAAGAGGTTACTTGCCCATTGTTCCCGGCATTTTAGTTGACTTTTACAACATGCATGGCTTATGGAGGAAAGATTCTTACTCCACTTTCCCATGGATATAAAAGGAAAAGTAATAATAACAAGAACTATTAAGATAAAATCAAAGAAAACTCAGATGAGTGTGTATAAATAAACAAGTACATGTATGTGTAGTGTGACCTAAGTGTAAGTAGAAGCAGCAAGACGTACCTGCAGTCTTGGATGTTTACGAGACAGACGAAAGACACCAGCATTCTTACCATCATGTAAAACAATTACAGGCTCTCGTTGTACACTCACTTGGCAGGACGGTAGTACCTCCCTGGGTAGTTGCTGTCTACCGCAACTACCGCTGGTCTCTGTGGATGCCTTGATTTGTGTACTGCTCGTGAGACTGGTATTCAAACGGGAGGAGAACGAAATTAGTGTCCTTTCGATTTTTCTCCTGATGCATATACCCAGAGCTCCTCTACGAACAAGTGGTATTGAATCAATAGCAACACTGCGACTAGCCGAGGATCGTTTTGGCCATGCCTCTTGGTGAGCGAAAATCACATGACGCACTAACCCACTGGACTGCACAATCCTACACGAATCAAGCACCCAGCAGAGCTGGGTGTTTACCTTGATCCGAGGACATAGGATGGTATTGGTTGTCTCCTTTTGGATTGTAAAAAGTATTTCTAGCAATTTTAAAAGTTTTATCAACTACAATTTTGGGTACTTCAGATAATTAGCTATTTCATAAATTTTGGATATTTCTTCATCTATGAACTTTGTTCTACAAATACGCAAAGCTCTCAAAAACGTTGAAGAGAAAACAGACAGTTTAACTCTATCTTGATGTGAAGAATAATAGTGTACATAGGAACAGTTATTTGTAGTTTTTCTGTAAATTTTAAATTTGAATTCATTATTACCCTTAATAATTAAAACATCTAGAAAAGACGAAGAGTTATTCTCCTTAAATTCCACAGTAAAGTTTATAGAATGTGCTACTTAATTTAACAAAGAAATGGTTTATATCTACATTCTTAGGCATAAGATACAAAATATCATCAACATATCTGAACCATTTAGCTCTATTAGGGAGGATTGTGTATAAGCAATTTTGTTTAAAAAAAATCCATGTATAGGTTACTAAGAACAGGTGAAAGAGGATTTCCCATTTCCATACCAAACTTCCGAGTAAAAAACTTATCATTAAATACAAATTTTGCATCAACAAAGTAAAGTTTAATGATAGTAGGAATTGGCAATGGTAAATCGTAATTAACAAGTTCTTCGGATAAGAAACTTAATAAATCATTAACTGGAACTTTCGTAAACAAGGAAGTAACATCAAAACTAACCATGTTAAAATCATTTAAGTCAGTCAAGGAGCTTAATTTATCAACTAAATCTACGTTGTTTTTAACATTAAAGTTAGAAATTTTTCCAACAATAGGGCTCAAAATGTCGACAAGCCATTTAGATAATTTTTATGAAACTGAACCTATGGAGCTAATAATTGATTTGACTGGATTTCCTGGTTTGTGTGTTTTTATTAATCCATACATGTAGGGTAAAGATGGATTAGTAGAAGAAATTTTTTTGATTAATTCATCTTTGCCTTTCAGTGGAAGTTTTATTGTTCTTTGAAACTGCTGTTACTTCTTGTTTACAAAAGCTCCAGTTTATGATTTATGAAGTTTCTTATCTAAAGAACTTATTAATTACGATTTACCATTGCCAGTTTCTACTATCATTTAACTTATTAAACTTTGTATTGTTGATGGAAAATTTGTATTTGATGATAAGTTTTATACGCAGAAGTTTCGTATGGCAATGGGAAATCCTCTTTCACCCATTCTTAGTAACCTATGCATGGAATTTTTTGAAACAAGATTGCTTAACACAGTCCTCCCTAATAGAGCTAAATGGTTCAGATATGTTGATGATATTTTGTACCTTATGCCTGAGAATGTAGATATAAAACATTTCTTTGTTAAATTAAGTAGCTTAGCCAATCCTTTAAACTTTACTGATGAATTTGAGAAAAATAACTCATTGCTTTTTCTAAATGTTTTAATTATTAAGGGTAGTAATTCACATCAAGACAGAGTTAAACTGTCCGTTTTCTCGTCAATATTTTTGAGAGCTTTGCTTATTTGTTGTCCAGAGTTCACAGATGAAGAAATATTCAAAATTTATGAAATAGCTAATGATCTGAAATACCTAAGAAACGTAATTAATACATCTTTTAAAATTGCTAGAAATACTTTTTACAATCCAAAAAGGGACAACCAACCTTATTCAACTAAAAATATGTTGGTTCTTCCTTACCATGAAAACTTGGTTGATATGTTTCTCTTCTTAAAACTTTTAAATCAAAGTTGTGTTTAAAAATCTTGATACAGTAAAAAAAAACCTTTTGATAAAGAATTTCCCCCAAAATGGTGACGGATGTGTCTGTAAGATTCCTTGTAAAATTTGCATTAAAGTTTATTACGGTCAAACTGGTAAGTCTCGAACTTAGATTAAAACAACATAAATAAGCATTAGAATTGGACAAGATTCCAGAGCTCTATTTATTCATGTGAGAGATTTTAACCATCCAACTGATTTTCAAAAGTTATATATATATATATATATATTATATATATATATTATATATATATATATATATTATATATATATATATATATATAACTTTTGAAAATCAACGCTCTTATATGGGTGTGAAGCATGGGTGATGAATGTTGCAGCGAGGAGAAGGCTGGAGGCAGTGGAGATGTCATGTCTGAGAGCAATGTGTGGTGTGAATATAATGCAGAGAATTCGTAGTTTGGAAGTTAGGATGTGGTGCGGGATTACCAAAACTGTTGTTCAGAGGGCTGAGGAAGGGTTGTTGAGGTGGTTCGGACATGTGGAGAGAATGGAGCGAAACAGAATAACTTCAAGAGTGTATCAGTCTGTAGTGGAAGGAAGGCGGGGTAGGGGTCGGCCAAGGAAAGGTTGGAGGAGGGGGTAAAGGAGGTTTTGTGTGCGAGGGGCTTGGACTTCCAGCAGGCATGCGTGAGCGTGTTTGATAAGAGTGAATGGAGACAAATGGTTTTTAATACTTGACGTGCTGTTGGAGTGTGAGCAAAGTAACATTTATGAAGGGGTTCAGGGAAACCGGCAGGCCGGACTTGAGTCCTGGAGATGGGGGAAATACAGTGCCTGCACTCTGAAGGAGGGGTGTTAATGTTGCAGTTTAAAAACTGTAGTGTAAAGCACCCTTCTGGTAAGACAGTGATGGAGTGAATGATGGTGAAAGTTTTTCTTTTTCGGGCCACCCTGCCTTGGTGGGAATCGGCCAGTGTGATAATAAAAAATAATATATATATATATATATATATATATATATATATATATATATATATATATATATATATATATATATATATATATATATATATAATATATATATATATATGTCGTGCCGAATATGTAAAACTGGTTAATTAGCAAGAACTCATTTAAAATTAAGTCCTTTCTGAAATTTTCTCTTATACGTTTAAAGATATATTTTTTTCATTAATGTTAATGTAAAAATTTATAATTTTGCTCCAAAAGAATCTTAGAAAACTTACCTAACCTTATTATAACAAGAGCAATTTATTTTAGCCTAACCCAACTAAATATATTTTAGTTTTGTTTACAATAATTTAATACTAAGCAAACACAGTTAAACATATTTTTTTCGTTAAGTTCAGAATGATTTTGGCGAAATTATTGCATACACAAATTTTCGCTTGTCCTATGTGGCAAGATGAGCGTTGCTATTTAAGCCAAGATCGCAAGTTCTGCCTATTCGGCACGACATATATATATACATATATATTATATATATATAATATATATATATATATATATATATATATATATATATATATATATATATATATATATATATATATGTATGTATGTATTTATATGAAAAGTTAAACACGTGTGGGTTTAACGGTTCTTCTTCCACTAATCATGAGACAGACATACCAGAGTTCTTTCTCCTGTACTGACCTGAATGAGGTCTTTCTTCCCGATTGCGTTGATTTGCGTTTTTCTCTAGGACTAACCTGCCCGACTTCTTTCTCAAGTATTGATTTCCTTGAGACCATTCTTCTGAACGAGCTTCCCTTACCTCTTTTGTCCGTAGGACTGTTCTCCCGGGTCATCATGCAATCTGGGACTGCTCTTGCATGGTGGGGAACCGATTTTAACCACAGAGAGAAAGCCGAGAAGATAGGCCAGGCCTTTGGGTGTCCGGTTACTTCAGACAGTCAAATACTCCTCGAGTGTCTTCAGAAGGTTGACGGACGCAGTCTGGGTGCTAAGGTGCAAGACTTCTTTGTACGTACCATATAACTGTTATTGTTGATAGAAATATATCATGTATCCAGTTCATTTACTCAAATATCTTTTAGAGTCCTCTGTCAGTTAACTTTAAACTTGAAATCAATATCTCTGATTTTCTTTACTACATCCTAGAAGCAATTTTTGGAGCAAATCTTTTTCAATATTTTGACGCTGACACAGGATAAAGACTGCTACAAATGCTCTCCATGAACAGTCTTCTTGTTGGAGAATCACAGTTGAAACTAACGGCTCGCAGTTGCTTGGTAGACCTATGCTTTTACATTATTATTTTTTCCACACATTTGTCGGTTGAAGGATCAGTTATTGAAGGAGAAGGGGGAATAAAGTCAAGGATTATGAGGATTAAAATAAGGGTAGGATTCGAAAAGTGGGTCATAATAAGAGTGTATGCACCTGGAGAAGAGAAGAATGTAGAGGAGAGAGAGATTTTGGGAGATGTTAAGCGAATGTGTAAGAACTTTTGAACCAAGTGAGAGAGTAATTGTGGTAGGGGACCTAAATACTGAAGTAGGAGAAACATTTAAAAAGGATGTGGTAGGTAAGTTTGAGGTGCCAGGTGTATATGATAATGGGGGCCCTTTGGCTGAACTTTGTGTAGGAAGGGGTTTGGTTATAGATAATGCATATTTTAAGAAATAGAGGCTAAATAAGTATACAAACTATGATGTAGAGTGTAATGGCAGTAGTTTTTTTGACTACGTATTAGTAAATAAGACTGTTGGATAGTCTTCAAGATGTACAAGTTTATAAAGGGGACACAGATGCATCAGATCACGTTTTAGTTGTAGCTACAGTGAGAGTAAAAGATACATGGGACACAAGGAAAATGGAAGCAGCAGGTTAGAAAAAGGTGAAGCTTTATAAGCTAAAGGAGGAGGCAGTTAGGGTAAGATATAAACAACAATTGGAGGATAGATAGGCTAGTGAGAATATAGGCAATAGGGTTGAAGATGTACCGGGTAGGTTTAAGAATGTAGTGTCAGAGTGTTCTACAGAAGTTTTTGGTTACAGGAAAGTGGGTGCGTGAGGGAAGGAGAGTGACTGGTGGAATGATAATGTAAAGAGGTAGGAGTATATGGAAAGGAAAAGAGAGGGTAAAAGAGTGGTGAATCAATGCAAAAAGAGAGCAAATGGGAGAGTGGGTGAGATGTTATCAACAAATTTTGTTGAAAAAAAAAAAAGTTTTGGAGTGAGACTAATAAGTTGAGGAAGCCTAGGGAACAAATGGATTTGACAATGAAAAATAGGATAGGAAAGTTATTAAATGGAGAGTAAGAGGTATCGGGAAGATGGAGAGAATATTTCTAGGAATTGTTAATTGTTGGTGAAGATAGGGAAGCTGTGATTTCGTGTATAGGCAAAAAAATAATAACACCTTGTAGGATTGAGGAAGAGCAAGTTGTGAGTGTGGAGGAGGCTCGTGAGGTAGTGGGTAGAATGAAAGGGAGTAGGGCAGCTGGGATTGATGGGATAAAGATAGAAACGTTAAAAGCAGGTGGGGATATAGGTTTAGAGTGGTTGGTGCTTTTATTTAATGAATGTAGGGAAAATGGTAAGGTACCAAGGGACTGGCAGAGAGCATACATAGTTCCTTTGTACAAAGGCAAAGGGAACAAGAGAGATGCAATAATTATAGAGGAAGAAGTCTGCTGAGTATTCCTGGTAAAGTGTGTGGTAGAGTTATTATTGAAAGTATTAAGAGTAAGGCGGAGAGTACAATAGCAGATGAACAAGGAGTCTTTCGGAAGGTTAGGGGGTGTGTAGACCAAGTGTTTACAGTGAAACATATAGGTGAACAGCATTTAGGTAAGGGTAAAGAGGTTTTTGTGGCATTTATAGATTTGGAAAAGGCATATGACAAGGTGAATAGGGAGGCAATGTGGCAGATTTTGCAGATGTATGGAATAGGAGTTAGGTTACTGAAAGCAGTGAAAAGTTTTTACGAGTATAGTAAGGCTCAGGATAGAGTATATAGGAGAGATGGAGATTATTTCCCAGTAAAAGTAGGCCTTAGACAAGGATGCATGATATCACCACGGTTGTTCAATATATTTATAACTGAGGTTCTATGAGAAGTCAATTCTCAGGTGATGGCTAGCGGTGTGATTAAAAGATAAAGAATCTAACACAAAATTGGAGTTGTCACGGTTGCTCTTTACTGATGACACTGTGCTTTCGGAATATGCTGAAGAGAAGTTGCGGAGGTTGGTTGATGAGTGAGTATAGGAAAGAGTAAGGTGATGAGATAACATAAAAAATTAGGGAACAAAAGACTTGATATCAGACTGGATAGAGAGAGAGTATAGAGGAGGTGAATGTATTCAGATATTTGGGAGTGGACGTGACAGCGGATGGGTCTATGAAAGCTGAGGTGAATTATAGAATTGAGGAGGGGAACAATGGTGAGTAGTGCACTGAGGAATCTGTGGAGATAAACAATTTTGTCCATGGAAGCAAAGAAGGGAATGTATGAGAGTGTAGTTATACCAACACTCTTATATCCGTGCGAAGCATGGGTGGTGAATGTAGCAACAAGGAGAAGGCTGGAGGCATTGGAGATATCGTGTCGGAGGGCATTGTGTGGTGTGAATATATTGCAGAGAATTCGTAGTTTAGGAATTAGGAGGAGTTGCGAGATTACCATAACTATTATCCAAAGGGCTGAGGAAGGGTTGTTGAGGTGGTTCGGACATGTAGAAAGGATGGATAAAAAGAGAATGACTTCGAGAGTGTATAAATCTGTAGTGCAGGGGAGGCAGGGTAGAGGTCGGCTTAGGAAATGTTAGTGGGAGGGGATAAAGGAGGTTTTGTGTGCAAGGGGCTTGGATTTCCAGCAAGCATGCGTGAGCGTGTTAGATAGGAGCAAATAGAGACAAATAGTTTTCATGACTTGATGTGCTGTTGGAGTTTAAGCAAGGTAACATTTATGAGGGGATTCAGGGAAACCTGCAGGCCGGACTTGAGTCCTGGAGATGAAAAGTACAGTGCCTGCACTCTTAAGGAGGGGTGTTAATGTTGCAATTTTATAACCGTAATGTAAGCGCGCCACTGGCAAGATAGTGGTTGGGGAAGATGGTAAAAATTTTTAATAAAATTTAAACCAAATTTTAATAATAATAATATAATAATAATAAAATAATAAAATAATAATAATAATAATTATTATTATTATTATTATTATTATTATTATTATTATTAATTATTTTTTTATTATTATTATTATTATTATTAGAGTGATTTGTTTAATCTTAATGCAGCAAAAACTAAGCAAGTAGTATATATAAGAGCCGGAGCAAGGTAATGTAAAGTGACAAAGTTGTGGTAGAAGTAGTAGCAATAAGTGAGAGGTGCTATTCCTGAAACTGTTGTCCTTTCATGCCACCTGACTTTCACCTCTCAGTATTCTCCTTTTCTACTGATTTAATCAGAGAGCAGGTTTGAAATACATGCTATAGATATCTTTGTCAGGAAAAAAATGTTTCCCTTCCTTGTGGATTATGTGGAATCCTTAATATGCTGTAGAAAAGACATTTTATAAAGTGTTCTTTCATTAGAACATTTCGATCTGTATAGATCTTATAAAGTCATGAATTTATAAAGATTTTAACTCATCGAAACGTCGAACAGGTAAAAATATATTTCGCAAAGTACCTTTATCTTCAATATTATCCTCTGGACGCATATTGATATAATTGATCTCAACTTTTAATTGCCTTTAGACATTTTAACACTCAATATCCCAATTATAGCTCCAGTTTTGTTATTGATATTTTTCAAAGCTTTCCGAAGTAATAACTACACCAAACAAATTATACCTTCCCTCTAACTCAACATAATGCTTTGAGTTGTTTCAAATTAAACGGAACAAGAGATGCGCCGCAAGCGCATCTACATAAAAAAATAGATAAATGAATAAATAGCGACAAAAGCAAGATTTCTGATTGCTCTATAATTCGCGATCAAGTAATTTCTGATGAGGACACTAGAGAGCAGCAGGATAATGTTGTGGTAAGAGTGGCAAATGCAGTTCATAGAACGATGCCATTTTCTGGATCTCACACATATATACATCACCGAGATTATTCAAGACTCGATGCTGAAATCCAACATACTAAGTTCCAAAATTCATTTGATAGCGAGGGATAATTATGCTAGTGTTGTCAAAGGGATGGAGGGGACAGGATACAATAGTTTGCCAAGTTTTCTACTTACTCTTCAACTGCTTATCCATGAATGTATTCTGGAGGATCTTAAGACCTCAAAGAGTGCAGCGAGTTTGCTAGCAGAATCAAGGTTATCTAGTCAGATGAAGAAAGGTCAAGATGACATAAAAAAGATTGAAGAACTTGACGTGAGTTTGATCTTGATAAATATAATGTAGGACTTCTAGCCAGCAATGCCAACAACAGAAGATCACAGACATCTGCCTCAGGATCATTTTTTAGTTCACAAACAAGAACATTCAAATACAAACTCACTAGTATTCATGTTAGCCCCCACCTACCCCCCAAAAAAGCAGTAGATAAATATATGGTAACAGCATTACTGCCTATAAAAGAGAATCTACAGAAATGGTCAAGAGAAAATATGACACTTCTTCCATCTGTTGCAAACACAGTCTGCATATACAAATAACTGTTCCTATGTACACTATTATTCTTCACATCAAGAAAGAGTTAAACTGTCTGTTTCCTCATCAGTGTTTTTGAGAGCTTTGCGTATTTGTATCCAGAGTTCAAATAACCAAAATTCGATGAAGATAAGCCAAGATCTGACATACCAAGAAACTTATTGATAAATCTTTAAAACTGCCAAAATACATTTATATTCCAAAAGAGGGAACCACTCAACCTTATTCAACTAAAAAAGTTGGTTCACCCTTACCATGAAAAACTTGGTTAATATCACTTCTCTTACTTTAAATTTTTAATATCAAAGTTATATTTAAAAATCTTGAACAGCAAAAAAAGCTTTTCA